AGTTATAAACAATAACATAATAATAACAGACTGTAGTGGCATCGGTTACAGATCAAATACAAGTACATTATGAGTTATAAACAATACATAATAATAACAGACTCTAGTGGCATCGATTACATATCAAATACAAGTACATTATGAGTTATAAACAATACATAATAATAACAGACTATAGTGGCATCGATTACAGATCAAATACAAATACATTATGAGTTATAAACAATAACATAATAATAACAGACTATAGTGGCATCGATTACATATCAAATACAAATACATGGTCATAATGATTGAGTAGGCAAATCAGGTTGAATAGATGGCAGTCACTGTCCTAATGTGTAGTACTTGATTGTTTTTCTATTACATTATTACTGTTCATACTGGTTATACTGTTTATTACTGTAATTCTATTTTTTATGATTATTATTGTTGTTATTATTAAATAAATCATCATTGAAAATCATTCAAATGCAAGTACACGTAGTATTCAAAACGATTCTTTCGTCCACGAAGTATAAAATCTAACAGATGCAATAGTGCTAAGCTGTTAAAATACAATAACTGTCAATTACTGAAATTAGGCATGCTTGCCTTTTCCATGAATTTTGCATGAAGATACTATACCTGTTTAGTTATACAGTAAGTACAGTTGTATGCAGTAAAATTCTAGAGTCTAGTATCCCTTTCATTACTAAAACTATACTAACTGTTAATAACTAAAAGTGCGTGCTCGCGTTTTCCAGGTCACCTTGAACCTGACCTTGACTACGACCTTCGCGCAGCTGCAGCAGCAGATCGCCGACGCGCTGGGCATCCCCCGGGAGAGGCAGCTGATCCGGTGTGGCTACCCTCTCAAGGAGCTTCGCGTGGAGGAAGGGAGGGAGAACGAACCGGTCGCGCTCGAACATGGGGAGAAGCTGTCCGTGACGATGAGGCCAGATCCTTCAAAAGGTGAGCGTGTGCGCGGGGGAGGAGGGGAGGGAGAAGGTGAGCGTGTGCGCGGGGGAGGAGGGGAGGGAGAAGGTGAGCGTGCGCGCGGGGGAGGAGGGGAGGGAGGAGGGGCATTGTTGATGATGTTGTTGTTGTTGTTCCTCTTTTTTTTTTCTTTTTTTTTTCTTATTCTACTTCTTTATTTTCTTTTTCTTTTCCTTCTTCATCTTCTTCGACTTCTTCTTCATTTTCTTTTTGATCTTCTTTGTCTTGTTTTTTCCTTCTTTCCCTTCATCTTCTTCCTCTTCTCTTTCCTAGGGTAATGTGTACCTACTTCCTCAGAAATATATTTCCACAACTAATACTGGCCAATCCACGGCCCACTCCATAAACGGATTTTACATCAACTGATTTGCGTTTGTTTAGACATGGCCGCCGTTGCCATGGCGCAGGGGCCGCAGGTGGAGGCAGCGGTGGAGAGGCAGAAGGCAGTATGGAGTAACTTCAAGGCAGACATACACGACCAGTCGGACGACGAGTTCCTCAAGGGGTTAGACCAACAGAAGGAGAGTGAGTTATCTGCAGCAGCAGCAGCAGCAGCAGCAGCGCCGCCGCCTGCAGCCTCTAACACGCCTTCTTCTTCACTAGGTTCTTATTAAGTTCTTTCTTTCTCTTTTTTTATTTTTGTCTCGTCGTTAGCGTAAGCCCGGCGCACACGTGAGTAATTTGACTCAATTAAAATGATGCATGCGTCAAAATACTTACGCGAAATATTTTCAGCATCTGCCGCACACGTCAGTATAATTACTCAAATTATGAGTTGTAATGCAGATCACGTGACTGTGCGCAGCGAATACTGGGCGCACAATGTTTTAAACGCATGCGCTGTGAGTACCAGTGTTGAGTAAATTTACGCAGCCAGCGCGCACACGTTGAGTATTTTAACGCATGAGTCAAAAATTATCAATCATGTTTGATATTGAGTTTCTTGATGCATGCGTCAGAAAACTCAACGAAAATCCGGCGCACACGTGATATTTTGACGCATGCATCATTTTACTTGAGTAAAATTATTCACGTGTGCGACGGGCTTAA